GAACAGACAGTTCAGGAGGCCATGGCGGAGCAGACAGTTCAGGAGGTCATGGTGGAGCAGGGAGCTCGGGGTGCCATGGTGGATCAGACAGTTCAGGAGGCAATGGCGGATCAGACAGTTCAGGAGGCCATGGCGGAGCTGAGGAACGGCCAGCGGGCTGGTTCTGGCTCAGGGCAGGACACTTTCCAGACACCGGAGGATCCCTTTCCTCCAGCGTAGTCCCGTGGTGTCTGGGAGGTCCTCGAGGCGATGGTAATTGGCTCCGTGCCGGAACAAGGAGTTGATGGTGGCGTCATCTAAAGCCGTCGCCGCGGCAAGCCCGCAGAACTCCCTGGCATACTCAACGAAGGGGAGATCCTTAGGGGCTAGAACAATGAACCTCAGAACAGGAACCACTTAAATACACAGGACTTGACGAGAAACACCTGGGATCAATAAACATAATTGAACATGAGTGAGGGAAAGGTCAGGGAAAGCACGTGGGGGAGGAAAACACAAAACACGGAACACAGGACTGAAACAGAGTCTGACACTGCATCTGTGTTTTTTAATGTGTGCATTGTCAGTAAATCACACGCAGAATTTTCCCCTCCCATCTGCGCTTTTATGGAATTGCGCTCTAATGCTAATTTACCCTGTTTAGTAAATCTGGCCCCTACTCTTTACTGTAATGTAAAAAAAATGATGTTACTATAATTTGAAAAAAAAAAAATTAATTTTTGATTTATTTAAATTTAACCAAAAATTAAAAAAATAGGAGGAGCAAATTACAAAGTTCATGTAGTGCATGTATTTTGAGTTATGCTAATAAAATAAAATATTGTGTGGAATTAGGATGATTTTTATTACTGTATTATAATAATTATTTTTTAATTACTAGTAATTAGTAATTATTTAGTAAAAATTTGATTCTTTCCCCAAAGAACTGTAATAAGAATTTGGGGGAAAATGTGTCTAATTGTCATGGTAGTGTAAGTTATTTTAAATAAAAAAATTAATAATAAAATAAAAATGTTTTTTTTAAATAAATAAAATAAAATAAAAATGCTAAACATTGCATTGTGTCAGGGTGATTTTGTTACTGTGATGACATTTTTGTAAAAATATGTTTTTCCCTTACAGAAAAGTAATGAGAATTTGTGGGTAAATGTGCGTAATTGCCATGAAAAGTCCCAATGAAAAACAAACAAATAAAATAACCCCCCCC